GTGACCTTGGCTGCCAGCAGCTGAATTCTCTGCTGTTGTAATGAAAGGTGTTGACATACAGAAGCTGTTTCCTAAACACCAATCTATACTCGAGGTATGGGATAAAGAAGGAAGCACAATGCTTCATGTTAAACTGGAACAGGAAGACAGGCAAGAAAGAAGATGGGAATTTGCCCTCCATGTATGGCGGGAGCTATTCTATGGAACTGACACCAGGTTTGTTGAGCTTGTGACCAGGAGAGGTCAGCCACTAAGAGTGGAGTTTTGCTAGGGACCATCCAACAGGGGCAAAGAATTGGATTGTCTTCTGTAAGCAACTTGAAAAAGTCTCCAGATCACCCATCCTGGCTCTTAAGGGAGACTAACCTCCTTGGCATCTGCTGACAGCAACCCAGGAAGAAGTCTGGGACCACCCCTTGATGCAGATGGGCCAACCAGGGCCTGTTCTCGAGGCCTGCTGCTCACAAGCATAGAAGGGCTAGGGAATGTGTTAATCCCCGGCAATGCTAGCTGTAGCAGCCACCACAGTGGAGTTCAAGATCCTGAGTGGAGCAAGGAGGCAGATAGCAGACCTAGAGGCTCAGGACAGCAGACTGGCACATTCAGGGAACTGGTTATAGGATCCTGCGGGAGGCAGCTCTGAAAGGCAAGAGTTTCACAGAGCTGACATCTTCAATGACAAGCTCTTCCTAAATACAGGAATGGTCCTTCCTGATACTGGCAGGGAGAGAGGGGAGGAGGAATCAAAAAACAGTAGACAACCATTAGGAAAATGACTTGGCTAAATGGGACACTCATGCCTGACTAAGGATGGAAAAAGAATGTAAGAGGGAGATGGAAGCAGAGATGCACTTGAAAGGAAGAATACTGAAAAAGTACCTGGGCATGCAGGGCTGGTGTCAGGAAAACCAAAGCTCACTGCAGGCTGAAACTAGCAAGGGGCATGATAGGCAGCACAAGCTTCTACTACTACTTTAGCAATAAAAATATAAACAAAGAAAATCCAGGCCCACTGCTGAGTGAGGCAGTGACAAGTGACAGGTACTCAGTGCTGCTTCTGCTTGTCTTCACTGAAATGTTCTCCCAGAGTTAAAGAAGAAGATGAAATGTCAGTAGTGGAACAGGATTCAGCCAAGTATCTCCTGAAAAATTTCACAGAATCGTTTAGGTTGGAAAAGACCTTAAGGTTATCAAATCTACCACTAAACCATGTCCGTAAGCACCACATCTACATGTCCCTTAAATACCTCCAGGGATGGCAACTCACCCGCTTCCCGGGGCAGCCTGTTCCAATGCCTGACCTTAAAGTACTATGAATATGGTACACTGCAGAAAAAGTGGCATAAATTGATTCTGCCCCCCCAACTTCTGTCTCAGGAATGATCCCTGCCCTGGTCCTGCTCACCACACTGTTCCTGATACAAGACAGGATGCCAATGGCCTTCTTGGCCACCTGGGCACACTGCTATCTCTCAACCAACACGCCCAGGTCCTTTTCCACCGGGCAGGTTTCCAGCCACTCGTCCTCAAGCCTGCAGTGTTGCAGAGGGTGGTTGTGGCCCAAAGGTAGGACATGGCCCTTGGCCTTGTTGAACCTCATACAGTTGGCCTCAACCCACCAATCCAGTCTGTCCCAATCCCTCTAAAGAGCCTTCCTGCCCTCAGGCAGAGGAGCACTCATGCCCGACATGCTGTTGCCTGCAAACTTACTGAGGGTGCACTTGATCTCCTCATGCAGATCACTGATAAAGATGTAAAAGAGAACTGGCCCCAGTATTGAGCCCTTGGGAACACCACTTGTGAGTGGCCACCGATTGGATTTAACTCCATTCACCACCACGGGCATCCAGCCAGATTTTTACCCAAGCAAGCATGTGGGACATGATGGGATGCATTCAAGAGTACTGAGATCTGGCTGATGTCATTGCGAGGCATCTCGCTAAGATCAAAGGGCTGTGGAGTTAGGATATTGCAGTCTAGATGAGTGAAGAACTACGTGGTTGAAAAACTGGTTGGATAGTTGGGCTCAAAGGGTACTGGTTAAGGGAATAATATGGAAAGTTGTCATAAAAGAAACCAGAAGGTTCCAACTTGATATAAGAAAAAACCCACTTTCAGAAATAAATCTCCAGAGTTTTAGAAAAATACAGTGAAACAAACACATTATCCAATTAACAATATTTTGCAGATTATCATTTTTGCCATACTAAGCTATGGTATGGTAACAGTGCACACAAATGTCTTCAGAACCAAGTCTTTCATTATCATGCTATGTCTAGGTCTAAGTATCGAGTTTACAGAAATTATTTTCAGTAGCACAGTTGCACTATAAGGTATTGCTTAAAATTCTTGATTGTGTACCACAATATTAGTGTTACCAGGAATAGATATCCTATTCTTGATTATGTAATCAAGAAAAAATTCTGAAAATAATATTCAGAGTACAAACTACTTTTAATCAGCAGCTAAATACCAAGATACTGGCACTGATTACTTCGTTGCTCTAATGACATCTGTAATGGATTCCAAGTGCTGTGCCTGATTGCTTCCCAGCTGATCATCACTTCTAGCTGCTGAATTCTGAGATTTCCTGGAGTTCCTTTGTAAAAGGCTTCAACATTGCTTCAGCTAAACAGCTACAGTGCATGCTTTTAAAACAGTCATCATAAACTTTACACTTTACTCCATGACAAAACGTATTAAGAGAAGAGGAAGATCTGGGGTTTTTGTCCTCTCCCTTTTATTGACAGGCATGGGATTATGCTGCTTTATAATCAAAGAACTTGATAGACACTGGCCAATGGATCATATAAATATAGCTGAACATCAGTTGATTGTAGCTTTCTTCAATAACCATGCACCAACAGTAACTGTGACACACTTTCATTAAGACTGATGTTTTCTGTTTTAATGTAGCAGATAAAAGGCAATTTGAGACATTAAGATAGGTGTACAAGCCAAATTCACAATTGTTAAACAGGGAAAAGCATGCAAAGTCCTCCCTCTGAGCAGCAGAGACACCGAGTGATGAACTGACCACAAGCCCCCATTGCCTGGCCTCCTGTGCCATTCTGGGGAAGGAGGTAGAAAAAAGCAGGAGTGAATTTGAGCCTGGGAAGAAGTGAGGGGTGGCGGGAAGGTGTTTTAAGATTTGGGTTTTAATTCTCTTTTTACTCTAATTTTTATTGATGACTAATTTTTTCCCCAAGCTGAGTCTGTTTTGCCTGCAATGGTTAATTGCTGGATGATCTCTCCCTGCCCTTATCTTGAGCCGCCAATCTTTCATTGTATTTTCTCTCTCCTGCCCAGCTGAGGAGGGGAGTGAGAGACTGACTTGGTGGGCACCTGGCCTCCAGCAGGGTCAACCCACCACACTCTTGTGATTTTGAAATGGAATTCTATAATTTTTTTTTTTTAAGAGTTTAATCAGTTGCTGACAGCTTTTTATCTCATTGTGTCTTAATTTTAAGTTAGAATTGTTTAAATGGATTACGTAAAGAACTGTGAAATCTCAAGCATAGTATTAGTACTGGAATTACCAGGGAGACTTGTGCCATATAACACAAGTTGGATATTGCACTAGGCAGCTTCAAATATTTATATAATGCACAGCACATACATCAAACAATGTAAGTGATCTCAGCAATACAATCTCTTCAGTTACTTTTACATGTTTGTGAGCAAAATGAATATATGATATGAACCCTGAAAGGTTCTTATTTAAAATATTATGAAAGTCTGAAACATACACTTGTAAAAGGGGTAATAATGACTACAGAGATCATTACTAGAAAAAAACCCTCATAAAATCTGCCACATCAAGACTTACTTATTGTATCTAGAATGTCAGAAGTCAGAATGCTGGCTCTCTGCAGTTGACACTTACTCTAAACAGAAAAGCCTTAGAATAAGGTTGTTTAAAGTCAATATAGACAAAAATACTCAGAACTCTGCATTGTTTTATGAGCTTTTGCAAAATATCCAGGTAAAGCAAGATCAACTTAGCTTCCAGGATTATTTAAATTGGTGAGTGAAAGATCCTTTTGAACAGGATGTAGAACACCTATTATTTGTCCTGAATTTTCTTCCTCTTACAAGGGATACTAAAAATAACATATTTGGAACACTTACAGGAATTAAAAGTCTTAAGCAAAATATTTATTAAAACTCTGCTATAGGAAGGCCAGATGATTCTTAGGAAGAGAGTATTTTATGATTCTGGATCAAACTTGCACCTCCAAAATTAATGGAGAATATAAACCAGTAAAACAACTGCATAATGGCAGACTTTGCATTAGGATCAAGCTACTGAGGTTTTACACAGTAGATTCTATCAAGCTTAAATCTGTTGGTTGTTACACTTTCACTAAAATCATGTTCTGGTCAAAAGAAATCTGCAGCCAATCGATTTGTCTTGTCAATTTGACAGCTAAGGTTTTAAAATCCACTTTGCAGGACACTGAGGGAATTAGTGAAAGGTCTCTAACATGCTCAAAACCTGACTTTGCTGACTTTTAGCACTTTAAGAATTTAAATACTGAAGCAGTTGAATTTATTAAGCATTAGAGAGCCAAAGAATTCTCTGAGCTTCATCCACTTTAGGTACTCAAAAAGCCATAGCTATTTTTTTGTCTTTTCTTGGCATTGTTTTTCCCCAGTGGCTGGAGTCCCTGTTTGTGTTCTCAAGCAATTTGTTTAGAAGAGAGAATTTTAATGTGTCTTCTTAGGTCTTTTATTTCAAAGAAAATTTCCTCAGGTCAACTGAAAAAAGCAATTAACTAACAAAAGTACATCCTAAAACGAATGATACAGGAAGTTAGATGAATCAGAATAATGTCTCAAGACTCATCTACAAAGCACACCTTCTTCCCAAAACAGTAGCACACCTAAACCTACGAAAGAATATTATGAGGTCAAGGAAATTAAGTTAGCCTTGTTGTTACCTGAAATATAAAGAAAATGGAGTTACAATCCCCACTTTACACTTTTAATTGCCTTACCTGGCATTCCATGGATAAGGTCTCCACACAACACAAAGAACTTGGGTTTAGGGTTTAGTTTGTTAATGGCCTGCACTGCTTGCTCTGTTAATTTGATTTCTTCTCCCCATTCATTATCTCCATTGTCAGTGTCTCCAACTGCCCAAGCTTTCATCAGTCCAAACTGAGGATCTGCTCCTTGGATGAAGTAGAAGGGTCCCTTCCATTGGTACTCGTCATCTAAGAACAGGGGGAAGAGGGAGGGGAAAAAAGTTAAGCACTAAAAAACTTAGAAAGATAATGAAAGTTTCCATGCATCATTAAATTGATTGCTCTTCAACTTAGCAAACTGAGGCCACTTTAATGAAAGTACAGAATTCTGTAGTCATTCATATAGGCAAATGTAAAGGCAGAAGTGCAAAATTTTCCTCCAATGGGTAGATGTAATAAATGAAAGCATATTGATCTCATTATACCACATGGTAATTACAGACTGATTAGAGAAAAAGTATGTGAAAAATTCAGCAAATAGTGCTGGAAATTACAAGACTACAACATAGCACAAGTGCGTAATGCTAGATTTCAGTTCATTCTTTTAAGACTCCAATTATTCCTTCTTTAATTAACAAGTTAAAACATACACAACACATTTCACATTTTATGGTTCCAGTAGATTTGTCCTTAAATTGTTAAGGAGTTAAATGGTTTTTGGTTTTATACTTTTAGAGAGAAGTAGCACATTCTTTGGAGCTAGAACTGAAGGCACTCTACAGGATCAAGGTCAGCAAGCACAAAATCCAGCAACATCTGAACTAGCAGCAACAATAAACATCCTAATTTAGAACTGCCGCAATAGTTCTTGAGACCTATGATGAAAAGGTGAAAACACAAACAAATTTCCATTGGCAGAATCAGTGTAGATGGAGAGTACAACAGTACAACTGCTACAATTTTGCTGTATACTTGTTTCTTTGATACTATAATAACAATAACAAGTACCACAAAAGAAGCCTGATACATAAGACTACAAGCACATTAAAAAAAAAAAAAAAAGAGTCCACACTGAGCAAATAAAGAAACAATATTAAAACAAAAAATGGGTAATCTGTTTCCTAGAATTACGTCTTAATTTAGAATTAAAAGCGCAAATATGCGTACACCGTGGTTTCTCCAGCTGTCTAAATGTATTCGTGACCTACGTATTTCAGTTCTGACAGCTGTATTTGGCTTAAGACATTTAGTGTTATTAGTTTTTTAAAACAGCATTTAGACTGTTTAAGACTTGCTGACTACATCACTCCACAGCTGAATTAAAAAAAGGCAAATTATTTCAAATTAAAATATAATCCATAGATATACTCCTATATTAGGTCAGTCTGATCTGAAAGAGAGTCTGAGGCAAAACTAATCTTCCAATAACAGAACATAAACAAGCAGTGTGTCTACCGCATGGATTTATTTTTGGTTTTCTTTCAAGTGATCTAGAACTGGACCTTCTTATGTTGCAAGAAGGAGGGTATGTTTCTTTCAAGGAAGGTTAGAAAACAGAGGTCAGAATTCGTCTCCTGCACCACGGATATGGAGGGTCTGGGAAATGAATGTGGGCAACTCCTGAAAGCTGCTTATAATTGTCATCAGTTGCTATGGCATCATTTGGCTTGCCAAAAGCAAGCTTCTACATTTTAGTCAAATTAACATTTAATTTCTAAACAAAATTATTGATAATCTGTTAACATTGTCTGTTAATTCATATCATCACTGCCTTGTTCTAATAATCACGTATTTTATGCATAAAGACTTTTAGCCATTCATTAGCTTTTAATTGTGAAGAAACTTTTCCAATCACATAACCTATTCAGAGAAGCGAAATGATCCATCTACCCATGAGTTTGCAGTAGAAGCCTTATGGAACCAGCTGAATGATACAAAGTAATTTAGGGTTTGGTTTTATGTCTTGCATGGCAAAATAAAAAACAGCTTACATGCTGAATCAAAGGCATTGCTTGTGCAGAGAAACCAGCTTACAGTTTTTGTAAGTGGAAAGCTATAGAAAAATCAGTTAAGGATGCAGGCATCAGAAATCCTTTACGACATATACAAAATAAAACTGTAAAAAAAGGGAAAGTCTGAAACAGGAACTTGTTTTGGAGGAGTGGCACAGTCCTCAAACTCACTAAATGGGAAAAAAGCTCAAATCTGAACAACGTGGCAGCATTTTTACACCTGCCCCTTTTCCAGCAACTCTGCAGACAGTATTGATAATCAATGCCGAGTAAAATGTACTTGTTTTGTACCGATTAATCTGAACCCATTAATTTTTACCATAGTAGCCTAAGTCAAATATAGAGACATCTATTTATTTTTACAGGAAATACTTAGAAAAGACAGCTAGTCGTTGTTTTAAAAGACTGTTTCAATTATAGACATAGTGTGTTTCCCTTTCCAGGGCCCCAAGGATGGTGCCTGGCAGCCAAAGGCAGCTGGAACAGCTGGAGCAGGCCAGGTAGCTGTCAGGCAGGCTGGCTGGCACAGGCAGCAGGACTGGACCGGGTCCCAGGTAACAAGGAGCTTCACATACACTGCTTCTGGCAAGCAGACAATGCGCTGTCACGGAGCACGCAGAGCTGAAGCAAAAGAGGTTGCAAGGCCTTCCTGGATACACTTTTTTCCTGCCTTATAGCCATGCCAATACAGTAGCTCTCTAGGTTTTAAGTACCTGAATGTTTCCAAGACTCCTCACAGATGCTCTGGTTTGAGTGGGTGAGTGATGGTCATGTGAGGCAGAAAGAGACACTGATAAGATGAATTTGAAAAGAGAAGTTCAGTACACAGACAGAATCAAGACGTGGCAGAAGAAAGGAGAAACAGAAGATGCAGGGGTGGAGGTGAGGAAGAGTGGGGAGAAAAGGAAAGAAATAAGGGAGGGGAAAGCGAAAGGAACTGAAAATGATGCAGAAATATATGCTATATTCTCCTGTAGAAAAGAAAAACATAAAATGAAGAAAGCAAAGCTGGAACAACAGAAGAGATCCAGGAATCAGGGCTACATAAATAACATTTTCTTAAAATGTTAGTTTAATTAACTGGTCTTAGTCAAATAATCCAGTGAACAGCTATTTTTGTGGTATTTCATAATTTATCAAATAGTTACCAAAAAATAACAGTAAGATTTGAATAAATGTTTTTTGTCTTTGTCTTGTTATTTGATCACTCCAACTAGAAACCCTATTTAAAAACAAATAAATCTGGTACTTACACCAAATTTTATTAGCTTATTACTTATCAAGTGGTACTTCCTGATTTTGTTCCCCAAGAAACACAGTAATATATGGGAACAAAATAATATATGGACACTCAGTTTAAACTTACAACTTAATTTTTTGTTTATCAGGAACGTGTTTCATTTACTATAAAGTGCTATAAATAACAGCAGAACAGTTCTATTGGTACACCAGTTGTTTATCAGGAATGTGTTTCAATTACTACAAAGGGCTATAAATAAACGCAGAACATCATGAAGGGAGTTCTATTGCTACACCACCACTGGGTGAAACTTGCACCTGCACTAACCCTTAAGCCAGCTCATCCAGGAAAGAATTAATTGCCCTCACTGGTCTGTCTGCAAAGGACTTCATGCAAGTTTTTCCTTATCTGTGCAAGGCATAACATCAGTCTGGCTAAAGTTTGAAGTGTTGCAACTAGTGCAAATTGGCTAATTTTGCTTAAAACTCCGGAAACATGCCTACACGAGTGCTCTTTCAGACCAATATGGTAAGAAGCAATAAGAAACAGTATAAAAGCATCTTCTACTACCATGGATGGATCCAAAGTCTTTTGCCTAAAAATTAAATGATTTATCCATGGACTATGTTCAGATAATATTAATGAAACTCCTGTACCCTACTTCTCTTCCTCAAGCAGAACAGGTACTGTAGGCCGTGCAAATGAACCCCATCTGCTTAAGCAGCAAGACAGGCACCACAAAAAAATGTTTGAACTTTGCACTGAATCACAAGGGGAGTGCTCAGACAAATGACTCTGCGGGTATGCTAGGGGAATGCCAAAGTCTGGCAGAGGGTTAGTAACAAACAGCATTGGCACAAGTGGTGGGCGGGGGAACAGTTGTTTTTGCAGTGATCATCTAATGATGATCCAGGTCCTAGATGTTACTCCATAAGGTTTCAATCAAACAGCATGTACAGTTGCTATATTCCCTTAAAACGTAGCAAGCTACGACTTTTATGGGAATGACATCAAAGGCATCCTTCTGGCTAGGAGTTGAAATGCTCAGGTCCATTTTTCACGCCTTTAGATGAGCTGTGTAGTTGTACTAGACAAAGTGTATGCCAGGTAAAGCAAGAGAAGATTAAGATTCAATTAATAGACATTTTTTTCTGCCTTCTCCCTTGCATCACAAAATGGAGCAGAGAATGTCTGGAAATTGGTTTTTCATTCCTATCAGCACAGAGGCTGTTTGCAACTTTCTGAATTTACCACAGCAATAAGAAAATGCAAATACCAGACAAAAGTCAGCAGATTTCTCAGATAACTGATGTACACGCAGCTTCCATTTCTGAAGGACAAACAATGTCTGTGGAGCTGCTCTTAGACACTGAGCCACACAAAACTCCTATTCCAAATCCATTTTGTCCCCTGGCCTCCTTAAGAGCTGCACAGCAGAGCACCACGGAAGAAGTCCAACTTCAGAATATGTTGTTACGCCTCAGTTTCAATAGCTTCCCACTCTTTTTCTGCTCCCATGCATGCCAAAGTACGGAGAGAGGATCAATGCAATGTATTTTTAGTAGCATAGACTGAAAAATGGTGCCAGCTTCTAATTTTACTAAAGATTAATTCTATGAAGGGCCAAAGTAGTCAGCAGCAATTCAGAAAAGAAAACCTCAGCCACATATACTGATCACATACAAAAAGACACTTCAAGGACCTAGGCGGGATTTAAGCCCAACGGCACCATTTCTAGATGACAATAGCTAGTATCTTGCCATGCCTTCATTTCTTCCCCTTTGGCTCTTCCTAATGCCTCCTCCCTTTTCTTCCCCTCTCTCTAAGGATGACACGCACACATATATATAGAGATGGCTTATATAAACCACCACAAGTTGGCCTCCGACAGCCACGCAGCACTGCTGGGATTTTCAGTATTTCCCTGGTGGGATTTTTTTTAAAAGCACAGGGGTTTTCTTTTTCTTCCACACTCCACAGTATTTCATGGAAACAAATCAGTTATGAAAAGTTAGTCCTGTCCATAGTCTTTCTATAGACACTATTGTATAAGAGGAAAACGGAGGTGGACACATACCTAATGCCTGCTCAGTATCATAGTTTGGGTTGGAAGGGGCCTTAAAGATCATTCAGTTCCAACCCCCCTGCCATGGGCAGGGACACCTTCCACTAGACCAGGTTGCTCCAAACCTCATCCAGCCTGGCCTTGAACACTTCCAGGGATGGGGCATCCACAACATCTCTGGGCAACCTGTCCCAGTGCTTCACCACCCTCTCAGAGAAGAATTTTTTAATGATTTCTAATCTAAACCTCCCTGATTTCAGTTTAAACCCGTTACCCCTTGTCCTGTCACTACAGGCTCTTGTAAAAAGTCCCCCCCAGCTTCCTTGTAGCCCCTTCAGGTACTGGAAGGTGCTATAAGGTCTCCCCGGAGCCTTCTCTTCTCCAGGCTGAACAAGGCCAACTCTCTCAGCCTGTCCCCATGGCAGAGGGGCTCCAGCCCTCGGAGCATCTTCGTGGCCTCCTCTGGACTCGCTCCAACCGGTCGATACCCTTTTTCAGTTGAGGCCCCCAGAGCTGGACTCAGAACTCCAGTGGGGTCTCACAAGAGCAGAGAGGGAGAATGCCCTCCCTCAGCCTGTTGGCCAGCTTCTCTGGATACAGCCCAGGATACGGTTGGCTTTCTGGGCTGCCAGCGCACACGGCCGGCTTATGTCCAGCTTTTCATCCACCAGTACCTCCAAGTCCTTCTCCTCAGGGCTGCTCTCGATCCATTCTCCACCCAGCCTGTACTTGTGTTTGGGATTGCTCTGACCCAGGTGCAAGACCTTGCCCTTGGCCTTGTTGAACTCCATGAGGTTGGCACAGTCCCACCTCTCCAGCCTGTCCAGGTCCCTCTGGATGCCATCCCTTCCCTCCAGCATGTCAACTGCACCACACCGCTGGGTGTCATCAGCAAACTTGCGGAGGGTGCACTTGATCCCACCGTCCATGTCACTGAGAAAGATATTGAACAGTGCCAGCCCCCATACCAATCCCTGAGGAACACCGCTCGTCACTGGTCTCCACTCAGATACTGATCTGTTGACCTCAACTCCCTGAGTGTAACCATCCAGCTGGTTCCTTATTCACCGAGTGGTACACCAGTCAAATCCATGTCTCTCCAATATATACACATGGATGTTATGCAGGACAGCATCAAATGCTTTGCACAAGTCCAGCTAGATGACATCAGTTGCTCTTCCCTTACGCACCAGTGCCATAACCCTATTGTAGAAGGTCTCCAAATTTGTCAGGCACGATCTGCCTTTAGAGAAGCAGTGTTGGCTGTCATCAATAACCTCCTTATTTTCCACATGCTTTACCACAGTTTTCAGGAGGATGTGTCTTAATATCTTGCTGGGCACAGAGGTGAGACTGACTGGCCTGTAGTTCCCTAGGTCTTCCTTTTTAAAGATGGGGGATTAAAGATTCCTCTGTTCCAGTCAGTAGGAACTTCACCAAACTGCCACGACTTCTCAAATAGGATGGATAGAGGTTTAGCAACTTCATCTGCCCGTTCCCTCAGGACCTGCAGATGCATCCTGTCAGGTCCAATGGACTTGTGCACCTTCAGATTCCTCAGACGGTCTCAAAGATCGTCTCCTACAGTGGGCGGTTCTTCCTTCTCCCAGTCCCTGCCTTTGCCTTCTGTGAACTGGGTGGTGCAGCTTGAGCACTTGATGAAGACTGAGGCAAAAAGCCATTGAGTACCTCAGCCTTCTCCACATGCCAGGTAACCAGGTCTCCTGCTTCATTCTGGAGAGGGCTCACATTTTTGCTAGTTTTCCCTTTGTCTCCAGTGCACCTATAGAAGTATACCATGAGCAGTACTAAATATGAAAAATGCCCTCATTCTCATGTTGGCTTTGCCAGGGGAATTAATTTCTCTTCTCTGAAAGACCACAAAATAGCCAAAAACCACCTGTCTCTGCCTACAAAGCATGCCTGTGTTACTTTTTCTAGGTAAAATTGGGCTAGAAGCACAATCTTGGTTTTCTAAAAAAGCTATGAGCATGAAAGAAAATGGAATCTGTTAAGTGAAGGCAGTAGTTATACATCATAAACAATACAAAAGTCAAAAACATTTTCCTTACAATTGTTTTGCAGATTACCTTTGAGGGAATTTGTTTTCTTTCCTCTTACTGTTTCTCAAGCTATTCCAAGACTAACAGACTTGCACTAAATCCTTAATAATTCCTTGTTTAATATGAAAACATTATCAATAATTATGGCTTCAAAACCACTATTGTTACCATCTATATGCCCAAATAAAAAAGATTTCAAACTAATGAAATATGCATTCCTCTTAGTTATATTTTCTGTGTGTACCTAAGAGACAATCAAAGATATGACTGTTGATGGTTCTGCTGAATGACCAAGGCAACCCATTATGGAAGGCACAATTTTATGCATCAGGGTAAAAAAAAACCCTTCAAAACAGGTGCAATTATTGTATAAATCATGTACATGAGCCTAAACTACAGAGATAATGTCTGTAGAAACACTGATAGAATACAGTTTCTCAAATAAATTAGGGCATGCTAATTTTTTTAAAGATATACTTTTAAACTTCTTAGGTAACTACCAAGGTATGAAATGCCCCCTCAGATACAGTTTGTTTGTACTGAGGGCTACAGAATGCTAAACTCTAGTCATGCCTTTATGTCTACCCCAAATTTAACATGTTAACTCATTACAGAAACTTTACAGCCCAAGATGGTAGGTGTGAAGGGGGGTGGCTTGCATAATAACAAGGTGAAGTCACAGAAAGTTGCTCAAAACCCACGTAAAAATTTGCCTACTTTGTATGAGAGCTGGAGACAGTATTTGGAATGAAATATGCTAGCTGGGAAGCAGTTCTGTTCAGTGCTCAAAAATATTACTGTTGAAGAGCTCTAGAACAGTAATCATAATGTGCCAAGATCCAACACTCATGTGAAAGCAAGGAAAAAAAAAAAGAAATCAACTCTGGTTGTATTTAATTTCAAAAGGAAGGCGAATTATATGTAATTACGAAGTTTTTAAAAAGTGCAAAAATCCTTGAAGGCAGCATGGAAACTATTCAGAGACACTATCCTAGAGGCTCAGACCATATGCACAGCACTTACTAATAACCAAACAGAATTTGGACTGACTAAACAAACAGCAACCGTAAGGATGCTAGTAATGGCAAGACAGCATCCTTCAAAAAGCTAAAGCATCCAAATAAAGAAAACAGGAAAGATTTAATACACTGGGAGGTTAGATATAGAAGTCCAAGAAGTCATGCTAAAAAAAGTGAGGAACAATGGGAAATAGTGTAAATCTGAAAATTAATAAAGCCCTTTTTAGAGTCATTAGGAGCAGGTTGCCTGCCAGACACTCACTAAGGCTAACAGATGTTCCAGGCACGCAAGATGCACCCAAAGATGAAGGCAGAGAAAAAAAAAAAACAATGTAAATTTTTGTATCTACATTTATTGTGAAGGAGCTTGTGAAGATCTAATGCCAGAATTCTTCCTTACCAACCGTGCATCACATCTGTCTCAAATCAAAACACCAGTGATGATTCAACAAATAGACATGAATAACAAACCACTTAGATTAGGTGTCACCCACAGAAGAACTCAAAAGTTAGAACCAGCTAATCCCTGTGGAGTTAAGTCTTGCTTAAAACTGTCTTTGCACCAGAGGAGCAGGAAGGTGGCCAGTATCACGCCTACGTTTAAAAGGGTTTCCTGAGCAACTACTGACTGCAAAACTGGAATGTGTACAGGCAAGTTAATGGAAACTGTAACAAAGACAATAACTACTGCACTTACTTATTCTTCAGAAACAGTAATCAACAGCTTTTACATGGACAAGGGAAATCCACTTGATACCTCCTGGAGATTCAAGTAGATGGTATCTGTTACTCACCAAAGACTCATAAGGAAGTCAAGCTGTCTTGAAATATGAAAGCCCTCACACGCATTAAAAAAATGGTAAGAAAAAAAGAAACGGACAAGAGACATAGATCCCACCTGAATCTGTACTAGGCCCTATATTGGTCAACAAATTCAAAACAAGCTGTAACAGCAACTGAATAACCAGGAATTGAAATTTGCCAGAACTAAGTCATTTAGCAGTATGAAAATAAGACCTGGTTGTGAAGGACTGGGGAGAGACTTCATTAGACAGTGACTGTTCAAGAAAGCAGACTAATTTCAATGCAGAAGAGTGCACATGTGAAAAAGATGACCAGCTATCATACAAACAATGATAATTCTAGAAAGTGCTGCACAGAAGTCACCTCAACATTCAGTAATGGCAAAAAAGCAGAGATAGGAAAGGAAAAGAGAACAGGGCAAAATAAAAAAATAGAAGAAGCAACTGAATAAGCTTGAAGAGCTTGCAAAAGATTGGTGAGGGAGGCATAATAGAGGAGCATAAAATCAGACATGGAACTGAGAATATGAGTATGCAATGCTCTTCCAGAAGAAGGTTTTAAAACCATCAGCTAAAACTAGCATAAGCCAGGTTCAAACCAGAGAAACTTCTCAACCAGTTAAGCTGATGGTACTATCACTTGTTTAATTACTTTCTACCTACTCTACCTACTTTCACAGATATTCTTTGCACAGCATGCTACTGGCATACTTGGGACAAAAAAAAAAAAACCACCAACACACACCCCCCAAAACAAAAACTCAAACCCCCAAAATGAACAAACAAGTACACAAAACCCCAGAACTTTTTGAGGAGAAGTAGTGGTGAGGACAGAATTTACCCAAATCTGTAGTCCTGTTTCTTCACAAAAATTCTAGTAAAAGTAGTAGACATCTGAAGCATAATTTCATATGGGCAGAAAAGACAGAGAAAGAAAACTGTGCATAGCAGCAATATTAAACTTTTTGTGTAGATACCCGTTTAACAGGAGTGAAACCTAAAGACTGAGGAAAACAACAAACCACAGATAACTGATTTTCATCTTAAACTGCAAGAAACTTTGTCTCAGTTTTATCAGCCCTTGGTTCTGTTTTTTCCAATCATTTAGTCATTAACAGGTTGTGTTGAACTTTAGCCCTTTAAGAAACAGCTAAGTAAATTATTGACAAAGAAATACTGTACTCAAAGATGGTAGCAGGACTAAAAAAGCCTAAAAAGTCCCAAACAAGATTAAAAACCACCAGTCAGAAAGAAAAGTCTTGATTAATATTTAAAGAATACCAAACAAGAACACTTCAGGGGAAAGAAACACATCTGGAAAAATGGATACCCAAATCACATTTTTTCTTCCATGTTTGAGGCAGTTTTCAAGAAGTACTTACATAAAGCTTTTGTTCATAAATTTTTACACTGTTGTTGAACACTCCTTTTATTACAATTTTACTATACAGTTGATAGAACTAGATGGCTTGTCTGCCATCTGTCCCCTCAGCAAATGCTAGACATTCTGTTCCAAACCAACCACACCATCTGCAATTAATAGGTTGCCAGAATGACTGTACACATATACTTCACATGCTTAGAGCTGGTGATTTTTCTTTATTTGGCAACAAGCAAAGCCAAATATTTCCAACGAAACCCAAGAAAATACCACAAAATTGTTGGGCTTGAATAGCCTTGCCCACCTCACCAAACCAATACAATTTGTAATTAATAAACAAATACGAAGAAATAAAATACCTTACATGTGTTGCAATAGGAAGAGAGTTTTTAACACAGAGCTAGATATGCACCTGGAAAACCTAGGCACACTGCAGAAACTCCATCCTTGGGAGAATTTTACAAGCAGGTGAGATGCACAGAGATGTTCAATATAATGCTCTGTTGGTCCAGCCACAAGACAAGAACCAGTAGTCGGCTGGCGGTTGCCATCTTTGGCTTAACAGTGGCCTCGGTGTTATTCACCTAGGAAGAAGTGAAACTAGAAGCACGTCTCCTGTCGAGCTGGCTTATGCTCAGGCACTACCAGCCGAGAGGGTTAACAGTGCTGTCTGCACGGAGGAACCAGCTGCTGACCTCCACCCTGGGAGAGGCTGAAGCACCTTGAAGAAACTGGGATCGTACCGAGTTGCATTCGCTATGGTACACCTGCTATTCATTTAGGTAACGTAAACAATGCTACCTGTAACCCGTTAGGTCACCCCTGTAGGTACAAACACGGCAGCACCAAGTTTCCCAAGCTACAGAGTTCAGGTTTAGCGGCACTGACAAGCACTTTAAAAGAAACGCGGTGTCGGACACCGCGAGCATCTCCTCCACGC